GCGCGCGGGCGGCGTCGCCGCAAACTGTGATGTCATTGTCACAGAAGGGGGCAGCACGCCTCGCTGCGTCAGTGCGGTTGGAGGAGCAGGGCGCTGGGCCGCCCCCCCCTTCTGGTCTTCAGGGAGGCCCGGGAAGGTGCGGCCAAAGCAGCCTCCTGCGGAGGACCCGGCATCGGTGGGAGGAAAAACAGCAGGGAGGAGAGCCGGTGCTGGAACGAAGGACTCTCCCGCCTCCTCCGGGGCCGGCCCCCGACAGCTGACCGACGTGGCGGCGACAGAAGTCCCTCGGGGTACGTGTTTTGCCACGGCTGCTTCACCTCTTTCAAAGAGACACTCGCTCTTGGCGGGAGGCTAGGCTGCTTCCTCGGAGACCTTCCAGACACTAACTCTCCTGTAGGTGACCCTGTCCCGTGCCAGGAACTGCAGCAGGGCTCAGACAATCCAGAGCGGGAGAAATAAGCGATTATGTCCTTCCTCAGGCTGAATAGCAAGGCTGGATTCTCTCAGTCTTCCCTTGTTAGATCTGAAATCGCTCTTCCTGTGAACTTCAAGCTCTGCTAATTGTAGAAGTGTCATTTTTATTTGCAGATAATCATGCAGCAGGAGCAGAAGACCCAACTGAGCCGCAAACAACACTGGAAGTAAGCCGATTTGATTCTGACTGCAGACGGGAGCAGGATGACTGGGCACAAAGAGCCTTAGCTAGCGGGATTTCCGTATGGTGTATTTATTTCAGCATATGGATGTGCCTAGTGCCAAAACACCGCTGACAAACTGGCCTGCACCAGACTTCACCAGAGCAGCAAGAGCAGCTACGGCTGCCTGTAACCAGGCTAGCTACTGGTTACAGGTGCCTTATTTCAGGAGCTGCTCGGGTGAAGCGTTAATTCTCGGTATTCACAGACTTCTCTAATTTAAAGCTAGTCTCTTTCACATTGCTCAACAAATGCGAAGTGGTTAATATGAATATAAATACAGTGATCGCTTGATTGTTTCAATATACCTCTAACCGCATGCAGGGCTAGGACCATACAATAGGAGCCGTCACTCTTTACTGATGTTTTTCAGTAAGAAATCAGACTTGCAAATCAAACTGCGATTTCCACTTGAATAAGGACTAGCAAAGTATGTTTGGGTTTTGGTTTTAATATCAGTATAGTTGCGTAACTCAGGTATATGATGTACAGTACTTCTCTGCCTGCCTCTTTTCTTCCTCTTTCATGTTTTGGGGAATTTTCTTCCAAAGCAGAACACATGGAAAGCTAGACAAATTTTGCTCTATGCACGTGCTCATTCCTTTAGCTGAGATTTTCACTGAGCTTCTGAATTCCCATGACCTAAGAATGATTCATTCAGAGAAAAAGCCTTTGATCTATGTAAAGAATTCGCACTATTTATTTTAAAGCACTTCTAAGTCATTAGAGCTTAGCCAATATTACTTCTGTTAATGCAGAATACTAGGGTTTCCCTTTACTAATACCAGAGACAGTCCAACTTTCTTATGTTGTCCAACCAGTACACCACAGTCTAAACCAGAAAGATGATTTTTGGAACTGGAGTATGAATTCTAACAGAAGCATATTTGGTCTCATTGCAAAGACTAAAATCCAAAGTAATGCCAGATGTGACAGTGCTTTATGTAGCGTGAGCAACTGTCTGTGAAGAACTATGCCGAAATCCTTCCAATACTGCAAGTAAGTTTCTAAATGGCCATCGAATGGTGAAAGAAGCGTTTGATGAACTCCCGTTGACTCAGGCTGGGCGAAAACAATTTTGGGACTGGAAAAGAAACGTAATTTCAACTGAGAAAATAGCCTAACTCATCACAATATTTAAAACAAAAAAGCAACAAAAAAACCCCTACCTACCAATTTTCTGATATTTATTTTATATGTTTTAGATTCTTCAGCAACAGCTGGAATTATTTCAGACATTTCAGCAACAGAATCTGGAGAGTATTAACACGGTAAAAGTAGAACACAAATGCTCTTAAAATACAAAAGCCTCCTGCTGCATTGTTAGATACTGTCATAGGTGTTTTAAGTAAGATCTAGTCTTAGACTATTGTGTACACTAAGTATACATTTAATCATCTGTCCATCTTAAAATAGCTGATAAGATAATCTCACTTCTAGGTTCTTGCTATTTCTTAGTCACAGTATTATTTGCGGGCTTATAAAAATGATTTAAAAACCTCAGAAAAACAGAGGAAAAACAAAAGTGAGTTAGGAAAAAAAAAGGGAAGGACTAGATCCTTCTCTCATTTATATCACTGTAAACTCAAGGAAGCTCTGTCGTTTTCAAAGAAGTTCATTCCACATTATGTCACTGTCAGCAGAAGCTGTTCTATTGTTGCAAACCGCCGTGTTTCACAAAATGCTCAGCCACCTTTTCAGGAGCAGTTTTCTGCCATCGTTTTATCTGGTTCTTTATATAAAAGCTAAATATCTGATGCTGGAAGGACATTTAGCTTTACACTTTGTTTGTTATAAACAATTCCATATTCCTACATGCCACTTCCATCTGGTCTGTCCTTCCTAAGAGACAACTTCTTGAGTAATAGGATATTTCTGGAAAATGAAATATTTCTACATATAAGTTTTCTGTAAACAATCTCAATCTTTTTCAGGTACAGTCTAAAATCCGTGAGATACTAAATAAAAATATATTTGAAAGGAAAACTCCACTATGTAGTTCAGACAAGACTCTGATGACTTGCACGCCAAGTGATGGATCTATGGTATGTTTAACAATTTTTACCTACAAACAAGTTATTCTTTAGCTGGACCTTGGGTTTTGAGAGTGACATGGTTTTTGGAAAATAACCCAAGGGGTATTCTGGATTTTTAAAAAAATAACAGTGTCTTCTCCCTCAGATTTTTCTGGGTAGCAGACCTTTAGCCATAACTACATATACTATTCCCTCCCACCCATTGTGATTAAAATTCAGTTTCTCTTCTGCACAGGTAAAACTGTAACCTGATCTTCCCCAAATCAGTTTGGATTATCTTCAGTGGGCATGGAATGCAATGCAAAGCATATAGGAAGGCGGGGCAGAGAGTCAAGGAGAGAAGAGACAGAAATGAGGAGAGGGAAGAAATTTTGTCCCTCTCCTATGAAACGCTGCATAAACCCTCCTTTTTCTGTCTATATTTAGTGTGAACTCCAGTTTGCCCTTATTTCATAGGGACTGGTATGACAAAAACAATCAAAGACAAACTGTAGTCTCCTTAAGTCATCTCTCCTCTGCTGGAAATATACTTAATCAATTTAAGACACTTGGTATTTTGTGCCTGCTCCAAAGCCCAGTACTGAGTGAAATGGGGCCTGCGATAATTGTTTACATTCTTTTAATGGGTAAATGGCACTGGCAGAGATAAACTGTACAAGTCTTGATTGATAAGTGGCTTTGGTAACAATTTAGTTGTCTTATGCTTCCAGTACTGCAATGTTTCACAATTTTTACAGTGTGACAATTTTTTGTACATTTGTTTTTAATTTTGTGGGGTAGCTTATGGAAAATCCTGAATCGCTGCCTTCTAAGAGAAGAGTTCATCATGATCAACAATCCTGTTCAGATGAGCATGTGGAAGCAAATGCCAATACTGGAAATGTTGTCAGTGATATAAATATTCCACAAGGGATTTCGCTTAAAACTATAGCAACTGAAAAGGTTGAAAATGCAGACGATCTGTTTGGAAACAACAGGATACTCGCAATAAAAGATGAACATAAACGTGGACGTTTGCTATCTGGCACTGATTCGGAGACAGAAAGGTTGAAGGCTGCCCATGAGAAGGTCATTTTGTGTGAATGTAAACATCATATACCTTTTCCCAAATTTGGGAAAGAATTTCATAAAATAGACAATACTAACTATCCTACCACGTTGCTGAAACAAGCATTTCAGAAGTCAGTCCATAATGATTTGGATACAGAAAAATCTGGGGGTTTATACAGAGAAAAATTAAATAACTTCAAAGAAAGTGCAGAAATTGTGACCTCTCTAGATGAATCACATCTGGGTTTAGTTCCAGTTAAAGAAAATGGCCTGTATTTTGATCTAGAATTTTATAAAGACTCCAGATGTGCCAATGTATGGTGTGGTTCTCCTACAACAGCCTACAGTGAAAAAGCAGAATCTCAAAGCAAAAATGTACACAAAGAATTTAGAATCAATTACAGTGAAGGTGACAGATTCCAGGTTAATTCTTTTTCCGAGATGGTGAAAGATAGGCTACTAATGCTTGATAACAAAAGGCAACCAAAAAAAGAAAAAGAAAAACAACAGACTCCTTTAAATCAAACGTTACCGAGGCCAGGAAATCAGAAGTTCAGCGAAATCAAAGTAGCCTCTGAATATGATGGCAAAATTGAAGCATTGCAAAAGTCCCTGAAAAATTCTGAGCATTTGCAAAAAACAGTACGTGATCTTCTGAATGAAAATGTAGCTCTCAGGAACAAAGTGGAACCTCTTACTGTTGCCATACAGTCTTCAAAAGAAAAAATATCAAAATGTAATATGCAAATTAAGGATTTAGCTGAAGAAAAGAAAAGTATGCAAATCCAGTTGGTTAAATCACAAGAAGATAACAAGGAATGTATTAAGGAAGCAAAGAACTTCTTAAGGAAATGTAAAGAACTCCAAAACCAGAAAAACATCCTTGACAAAGAGAGGAATCGACTCCATAATGGAAACCAACATTCAATACAGACACAACATGATTTTCAAATTAGGAACCAGAAAGTAGAAGAAAAGATGACTGCTGTTACCTGTGAAGGAGAGAGGCTCGGTACAATGCTAAAGCTCTTGCAAAAGGAATGCTTCGAGTTACAAGAAACAAATAAAAAACTTAGGACAGAAATATCCCAGCTTACAAAAGAAAATAGTTCCCTAGAGCAAGATCTTGAAAGAAATCAGAGTGAAATGCAACAAATAAAAGAAAAAGGAACCGCAACGAAATCTGAACTGGAAACTCATCTTCAGTTAATGCAAACACTGGAAGCCAAAAAACTTAACCTTGAAATGACCCTGCAGGAATGTTTTGATACTAACCAGATGCTGCAGAAGGACTTCGAGAAACTCCAATCAGATAAAGCTTATACAGAAAAGAAACTCATGGCTGAACTCAGAAATGCAAAAGCAGATATCTATCTTTTAAAGTCTAACTTGACCAGTGCAAACAGAGAATGCAAGAGGTTTTCAACAGCAGTAACAAATGTCACAGGGGAAAATCAGTTCCTTAAGAAAGAACTGCGGGAGTATAGACAAGACACTTCCAAATATGAAAGTGACATTAGAAAATTGACCGAAAAACGCTTACTATTAGAAAATCTCCTGTGGACTACTGAAAATGAGAGAGATGTATTACAGTTTGAATTCCGCCATTTGCATAAGGGTTATATTTATCTCTGATGCCAAGCTACAGCTGTAGTCTGTGGGCAAAGGAAACCTGGTTACCAGGTACCATGGTACTCGTACCACGCAATATAACTGTTACTCTGAATATTCCACTAGAATGTGTACAGAAATTTCTGTTCTAAGTATAAAGCCTTGGAATACGATTCACAAGGTATGAGCTTTATTCTGCAATATCTTATTAGCTGATTTTCTTTTCCAGGCAATTCCTAATAATCTACAACAGTCCATTGCTTCAAATAAATCGTAATAAACCGTTTTCTTTTGTAAAACATTTACAATTCTGATGTCCAGTCATTTCCATGTTTTTGTTAAGTTCTAAAAAGAACTGCCTGGTTTTTTGATACATGGCTGAATTTCACAGATTCACAAAAGCAGATCCTTACACAATGTAAGCAGTGTAAAGAAATTTAATGAAACTTGTGACAGTTTACAGGAGATAGAACTCTGTCCCCAGGACTTCAGAGTCAGAGGGGAATCTTAACGACCTTTTAGCTGAACAGCTTGGTACATGCCACAACATTTCACTGGTTATTTCTGCAAGAAGTCCTAAATTAAGTTTAATCTATGTTTGCGTACGTTTTAGATGACATCTAATTCTGGTCTATGTTTAATCAACACAAGGTACCCTTTATCTCTTTATACTAGATACTGACTTAGGAAGCTCATTAATTAAAACATGAATTTTAACATTTTCAGTGTAAACATATTCAGAAACAATGGTCATAGCTATGAAAGGCACAAAAATTATCCTCTTGGATATAATCACTGCACAAATACTCCGATTTTCTCAGCCAAGGGACCATGGGGAGGAAGAATTTCTCAAAAATACTGCATACAATATTCTGTGAAGTTGAAGCTGCCTGTATGCAGTGTCTCTACAACAGCATTAGGACTACTTTTTTAAGAACTTCTTTTTTTACTCACTCCTTAATAAATAAATCCATGAAAGTAAAACCATGTAATTAGTTACTGGTGTTTCCAGAACAGACTTAGAGGTAATTATTTATCTTCACTTTCCTACTAGTACAACACTAGGTGTACAAGCTCCTGGCCAACAAAGGGCATGATCTCGTCGGAGACATAAAAGTAATCCATTTCTTCCTATTTCTCCAATAATTCATAAAGACTGATTGCAGAAAATTAACAATTATTTATCTGGTTTGTAATACAAGACCGTAAATGTAATAGAGCATGTTTTTGTATCATGACTGATACATATAGTAGAATGACTAAAAACTACATTAGAGATCTAAGTCTAGTTCTTAATGCTTTTTCCTGTAAAAATGTTTAAAAGATACAAAAGGGTTCGTTGTGTTTTTTAATGGAGATAGGCAAAAGTATCATGCCACAATTTTGCATTGCACACCCAAAGTCAATAAGGACATTAAAATGGTAAATACTTGGAATATTGAGTAGATGGTCAGGTGTTTAATTGCATTTAATGCTTGCATAAACATGAAGTTGCTTCAGATTGTAGCTATTAAATTGTGGTCAGAATCAGTTATAAAGGTGACTGGCTATATCTATACTGTAAGGATGTAGGGAAGCTGTTATTATGAAAACAACGTAAGTAATGTCTGAAGTCCTCCTTACCTTAGATAACTGGGTAATGAAATTTAAGAAAGTTCTAAATTCCACCATCACAGTCAAAGGTACTGCCAAGACGCCAAGGGACACAATTATCATATGTGTTAAAACAGCATACTGAGGCCCTAGGTAGAATTGGGTGTCAGCTCCTTGGGACCACACATTTTCTGGTGGGGACTCATCAGGTGAAGTTATTGGCTTCCATGATGACCACACGAGGCTAGTGCACATACACTAATATCCTCTCAAACAAGCTGGATTGATTATTTCTTTTTAAATTAAACTCCATGCATTTTAATCAGCTTTCAGTATTTCCATCTTGTTAGTGAATGAAAAGATTATTGAAATACAGAAGAAAATAGAAGAGGAAGGATTGCAAAAAGAGAAGAGACAGAAGGACATAAAGAAAAACTTCAGAGCAGTCCTCATCAGCTGTACTACATCAGAACACCAGTTAGGAGGAAGTACAGTACAGTTCAATCTACCTAGGAATGCTGTGTCTGCAGACTTCACAAGCGAGTAACATGGCAAATGCTCCCGATACTCTGTTGTCCTGGTTTCGGCTGGGATAGAGTTAATTTCCTTCCTAGTAGCTGGTACAGTGCTGTGTTTTGGATTTAGGATGAGAATAATGTTGATAACACACTGACATTTTAGTTGTTGCTAAGCAGTGCTTACACGAGTCAAGGACCTTTCAGCTTCCCATGCTCTAACGACTGAGAAGGCTGAAGGTGCGCAAAATCTCAAGATCTCAAGGTAAGGGTTTTTATGCTTCAACACATGCTGGAAGACCTCACCAACAATTCTTGCTTTTATTTTTATTTTCATTGATGCCAGGAAATGTGAGATCCAGTCTGCAATTTCTTTAAAAAACTATTATCCTGTGAACAGCAGTAAGGACACCATTTCATGAATATTCTACAGTGGTACGATAAATCTTGACTAGAAATGAATAAAGAAATTTTGTCTTCATGTAATAATTTGGATAAATATATGCTGAGTATTTTTTTAATTTTTAGAATAAATTAGCTTTGACTTACATGCACAAATTTCTTGGACCACTTATAAAAACCTGACAAAAATTATTAAGATGGAGGTAAGGTGTACATTTAGGATCACAGTCCCATCTGAGAAGCAGCTAGTTTGAAAGATGGATCAGATTTGTTAGGAACCTTCCATGTACACAAAGTGAAATTAAGCTGCTGCTGGAGAATATGGCAGCACTTACGGTTGTCAGGAAATTGAGGAAGAGCAGTAAATAGATGCTGGTAAATAGAGATGACTCCTCCCTTCATAACAGCCTGCTTGTGGTCTGGTTTTGAACAATGCTTGATATTGGTCATTTTGAGGTGGTCATCAAAACTAAAAATTATGTATTTTTAAGACAGTTCTGTCCTGGTTTCGGCAGGGATAGAGTTAATTTCCTTCCTAGTAGCTGGTACAGTGCTGTGTTTTGGATTTAGGATGAGAACAAAGTTGATAACACACCGATGTTTCAGTTGTTGCTGAGCAGTGCTTACACTAGTCAAGGACTTTTCAGCTTCCCATGCTCTACCGACTGAGAAGGCTGGAGGTGCACAAGAAGCTGGGAGGGGGCACAGCCAGGACAGCTGACCCCAACTGGCCAAAGGGATATTCCATACCATGGGACGTCATGCTCAGTACATAAACTGGGAAAGCTGGCCGGGGGGGCCGCTGCTCGGGGACTGGCTGGGCATCGGTCGGCAGGT